CATACAGTCTGGGCACAGTCCTTACTCCTCCGTGGAGCACTTGGGGCAGTAACACCAAAGCCTATTCACACCATCAGCCCCAGGACACCTCCCAGACCTGGTCTAGGCTCTGTCACCACACTTCTACCTTGCTTGGCACTGCAAGGGACAGGCTGCCCCTTCTGAGAGCCAGGACACAATTTCAGCATGGAGTCTTTCTTCCATCCCCAACAGCTGCATCTGGCATCTAATGCATAGGGATGCCTTAAAATGGCCCAGGTCTTTCCTCCAGGACCAGCATCAAAAGCCCCTACAAGCTGCTCCAGCCCACATCTATCTACACCTCTTCTGTGTGCTCAGCCCTCTTCTCTCACCCTTCCCAAAGCCTTCAAGGGATCAGCTAAGACAACCAGGAGCACAGACATCCATCACACCACATCCAGCTCCACACCCTTTATATACTAAATGGAAGGAGTTGCCCTCCCTCTGCTTGGCCAGGAGCAGCCAGCAGCAAAGGCAAGCGCAGCAGAGCCCCAGAGGGAGGCAGCCTGGGTGGAGGGGAGGGGGAGTCAGAGATGCTCTCTGCCTCTGTGGGGAGGGAGCCCCTCCAGCTGGCCCCTGTGGCTAGGCTGGCTCGCAGCATCGACGTCCTTTTGGACTGCTAGATGTTACTGGGTGCCCAAGCAGCAAAAGCCACCCACATCCATCTGTGCCTAGGCAGCCAGCTTCTGCTATAGTAGTCAGTCTTTGCTCTCAAAAAGGGTATGGGAAATGGGGGTTTAAACACCACTATAATCGTGTTTGGAATGGTGGCTAGTCCTGCATTGGCTTTTCACGTGGCAGCACCGCCACGAGTGACAAAGCACAGCCTTGTTCTGTGGTGCTGACCCAGGAATCAAGCACTGGACTCTATGCCACAAACAGCCTCCATTTCTCATAGGCTCACAGGGCCTGGCTCCCCTCATCACATGCTGTGCTGAGCCTGCTCCAATCTGGAACAATTGCTCCTTCATGTGTGTGACTTAATTTTATCATCTCTAACTAAGAGAAAGGAAGATTTGAAACTGCTAATTGCCCTGGAAAATGAAGATCTTTTTCTTATTTTATTTTTACTTTTTTAATCCAAGGACTGGGTTTTCTTTTCCGTGAGCTGCTTCTTTCTAAAAGAATTTTTATTCCAATTATTCAGACACCTGCTGGTGTCCCAGCAGCCCCCTGGCAGCAGGGAACCCTCTCGGGCTGAGCAGCCGAAGGAAACAAAGCCCAGAACAATGTTGTACAGGGAAACAGTACACACACCAGCAAGCCAGAGAGCACAGCAGCAAATGTGTTATTAGTCTGACATCACAAGGGCCTGCTTGTTTGTTTGCTTTACGCTTTTAAATCCCGACGCTCTCTCTTGCCGTGCCACATGTTGAATTTTTCTTGATTAAGTTGAGACTTTTATTATGCAGTGTCCCCAGAAGAATTACAGAGGGGAAGGAGAAAACCCAACTGCATATGGCAAAGGCAGTGAAATAGATACTGAATTCCTCCAGCTTGAAATGACAGGCAGTACAAATAAAGCTCCTTTGTAGCTGCTTTAAGATGTAGCATGTACCAGCCCATCTCAACAAATATATCTTGGGAAAAGCCAAAAGCAGGATCAGAAATGCACAGCGAGGGAAATTTTAAAGCTGCCAGTGCAAGTTTCTCCAGAAACAATATGTTTGTACAGTACTGAGCACTGTCAATTTTGATTGTGCAGCAGCAGTAAGACTAGTAATAATAATAATACAAATTATAAATTTCTTAATTGTTAGTTATTATTGTTATTATTTTAGGCCTCTCCAAGTCTTGAACTGTAAAAACAACATTGACCACTAAAATAATCTAACTCCTCTCAGCTCAGTATGCAATAAATGGGATTGGCCCTCCTGGACAGACAATTTGGGCTACATCTTTCTGCCCCATTTCCCCCCTTACAGTGAGGGTTGTATTTTGCAAGAGATACACCAACATCAAAGCCAGTATGGCAGGACTTCCTCACGTGGAAATAGGCTTCAAGCAGACCTACAAACTCTGTTGAAGTTTGCATTATGGTGCCAGAGCAGCACAAAATAGCTCTAGCATCTGGCCTCAGGGGTTCCATCAGTTCTGTATGAATACTCATATGATGCGGTTATCATCAGCAAAGCCCATAGCTAAGCGCCTTGCTACCAAGACTCATGGCTTTGATTTAGGGAGCTCCCAGTAATCTGGGACACTACAATTAACATATTTAATAGAGCGACTAATGGGAAAGATAAAGGGGGGAAACCTGCAAACCACAGCTTACACTGATGACAGGGTGGAAAAGGAACAAAACCCAGAAGTTCCAAACTACAAAAAAGGCACCCAGAGACTAGTTTGTTTCTCCCTTTTATTCTGTACAGTACAAGGAAAAAAAGAATCACAGAAATTAATTAATAGTAATCTCAGATTGGTTTATCTTTTCTAAGGTAACGTACAAGATTTAAACATTTATTTTGGGACATATTGACAAGCCTGCTCCTCAAAAGGCAGATGATCTGCACTTTATGAACACCAAATCCTTCCAAAATGTCTCACATAGTGGCACACAAAGTATTTTTAAAACATACCTCTGTTCACTACCTGCAGGAGATCACAAACTATGCAGATGGGTTATTAAAAGTGTTAGGCAACAACTAAGAGTTCAATAAAGTCATCTGTAGTTGTTCCAGGTAAGAAAATGGCAATGGAATTAATCTGGTTTATAAACAGGATATTAAAAAAAAAAAGTAGAATCCCTTAGTTAGGAGCAGACAATTATTATATAACAGACAATGTTATTACAATTATGATAAATAAAATATAGCTGGGCACTTAGTGCACTGATCTAGCCTGGAACGCAAGACCAGCTTCATCTGGCTTGGAGAAGGAGCCAGAAGCAGCAGTTCATCTGATCGATGGCCAGGTTATAATAATGTATTACATACCATATTGCTGAGTTATAGTCATGCAATGCTGTAACAATTGCCAGACCAAAACTCTAGCAAAATAGCTGGGTGCCTAAATACATATTTATATTTTACACTGTCTTTTACAGGGTTATTTAATTATCTCCAAACCAAGTATTCTAAACTAAAGAAATAGTTCCTAATTATATTCAAATGGGTACCTAAATAACCTTAGTTCTGCCTTGGGTTTACTGTATGCAGTATACCATGTAGCACATTCATTTCATATGGTTATTATAGACAGTAAACATAAAATGATTACAGAGTCACTGTAGCAGCTATGGCACCATATTAGATAAAATGACTCTTTGAGCAAGATCTTCCAGCTTTCCAGCATCATGTCTTCATTGTATCCCTTACTGGAGAGTGAAGGTCAGCTGTCCTTAGAGAAGAGGTTAAGTCACGTTCAAATGACAAAGAAAAGCAGAGGTCTTTATTTTGCTTAAAGCACTCTGGAGTTTTATTCCTTCTAGAAACAATAGAGAAGGGAAGCAATGTTGAGAGATGGCAAGTGTTTAAGGAATTTCCTCCAGCAGAACATGATTTTTAGTGCTTGCAAGAAATTATATTTGGCAAATAATGACACTAAGTGGAAGATGATCACATTTCTTTAACAATGTAACCTACATGCAAGAGGTTTTTCCATCATTAAAATAGGTCTAATCTTAGGTGCTTACAGAATCTGTTTATAATCAAGCTAGTTAATGGATTTACTTGTAAACTTGGACAATATATGAACTATTCACAGAGTATAGGTAGCACTCATCTGAGCTCATTTGAGTGCTCTAAGACTCAGGTATTTGGGTCAGCTGGGCAACTGGACTCCCTCATCAAGGACAGAAAAAGCAGCTCAGCAGTAGGGAGTTGATTTATTAGACCGGTTAGAGCTCTTGCTCTCCAGACATGATCAGTGTCCATATGCACACCTGTTTTTTTAGAAACATTAGATTAATCCCATTCCTATCCTTTGGGAGTAATGTTGGCTAAAAAATTTTCAGCCCCACCCCCATCACTCCTACTCATCTCTGTCCCCTCCAATCCCCAAAAAGGGTTGGTTATCTCTCTTCTTTGCACCAATTCAGCTGACAAAGAGATATAAAATTATTTGGTTCTAAGAAGAACTTTTTTTCCTATTATCCACCTGTTTTTGTATTTTTTTCCTGTCATAATCTTTTTTTTTTCCTTAGTCATCTTATTTTCACCAGTCCTGGACACACCAGCAGTAGAACAGCACACAGCAGATGTCTCACACAGCAGTGGAGACAGCAGATCCTTGTGTGGGGGCAAAGGATGGCAGAGGGTATATTGGATCCACTGATGAAAGATCCATAACATGGAGCTGTGCCCTAATTTTCAAGAGAACCCTCTGTTTTCATGTTCATTCAGACAACTCAGAGGCTATCTGCAATACTCAACACTGCCTAGGTTAGAGACCAACAGCGTCATCTTCCCAGCAAGAGTAATCTGTTCATCCTCCTTCTTCAGTGTTCCCTTATCCCTCATCTTCAACTATTTTATGCCTGAAAGGCAGAGCACAAAGGCTCCTTGTCCAACTGGCCATCAATGGGATGAGATGTCACAGCACTCTGACATCCCCTGCACCACTCCTCCTTCATTCCTGCTCTTTGACAGGCTCTGTCACAAAGCACACCTTCCCTGGGCCCCTCCTACAATCCTTCATCAAATTGTCCCTAAAAATCTAGGGACCAGGACATCCGCCTTCTTTAGCATTTCTGCATCGCTGCCTTGCTCTATCACATGTTTGGATTTGTGCTGTCCCCCAAGGCCAGAGAAGCAGATCTTCCTCCACCCCCACATCAGTCCCCTGCCTGGATCAGACAGCTTGCCTGCAGTTGTGTGGCCTTGTCCCAAAAACTTTTATCCTAAAAATGTAGAAGAGCAAAATACCTCCTTGATACCCCACTGTTAACATCAATAGAGTGACTCCAGGAATGAACTGAGTGCACTGGAAGAGGAAAAATTTGAGCAAAGTAGAAAATAAATAAATAATTTCTCTAGAGATATTTAGACACACACATACGCATACGGTGAGATTTTACAACTTAATTTACTTGTGAATGGCACCGAACTGATTCACTGGGGTTGCTACAGTAGATGTGTCCCCTAAACAGTAACTCTGTGCACAGAGAATTACGTTCATTCATGCATCAACATTTTTGAGTTAAGATACTTCTTTATTCCAAAGACTGTTGATTAGCCCCCTTTCAAACTCAGTATCCGCTGTCTGCGCCTTACGTGAATCATGTTCGGCACAGGACATCGCTGATGCTTTGTCACAAACAACCTAGGAATAAAAAGATCGGCATTTCAGTTTATTTTTCCTGCATCTTGTTAAAAAACGTACTAGGAATGTTGAAGAAACCTAATGCATAAATACATATTTTGTCTGATTCAATAGCATATACAATTCAAATGACACTGCATTAGAAAATCAAGGGGCTGCTGTTATTCACCAACACATTAAATACAAGCGATTTCTTTCTTTACCTTGACATTTGCCAGAGGGCCAAATCAGAAAATGATGCAACACCACTTAACTGCCTGCTCCACCTTCCCCCCAACAAACAACCAGAAAGCTACTGACCGCTCTAACACTAAAATGCTATTTCTTTAATCTTATCAACCATCACCTCTTCCGAGCAGTGAGGACAGTAACAGATTGGTATTAGCAATCTCAGCCCTTCTCAGACAGTTGGAGTCTTGCATATCTTAACTGATGTGCCTAATTAGATACAGCAGTGATTCAGCCTTCAGCTGGTTCCGTGGTGCTGCTTCCAGGGTGCATCAGCGTGTTCTGCATCACCCGGTGACTGAGGTGTTTACTCCTCATCACAATCGCTGTTATCTGTCAGAAGCAATACCACACTGCTTTCCAAAGAACACCACTCCTTCCCTTATTTATATGGAAGTACTTTCACAAGAAGGAGCAAGTTATCTTTGACTGAATGTTATTTCAGTGGAAGATAATAGCCTGGAAATCTTGCTGTCTTCCAGCCCTGGACAGAAAAGTCTGCTGAGCTTTCCGGGGGTTACACAGAGGAGCACTTTGGCACATTATTCAGACTCCAGGCCTGCTCACTCTGCTTAGTGACGTGGAAAGCTCTATCTCATGGGTTGCAGGCTTATGAATTCTTACTTGTCATTAAGTGGATGACATATTTTTTCTCTTTTTTCTTTTCTTTTTTTTTTTTAAATTTAATTTAATTTTATCTTATTTTAGGTGGAATGACTTTCAGTGTCTAGCAATGTGAACTAGAGATGAACTGCTGCTCTGGAGGGGAAAGGTCTGCATGTCATTAACCTCATCAACCTCTGTTGATTTAACAGAAAATGTAACCAAAGAAACATATCCTAAAGAATGGGGAAAAAAAAATCAGTGTTTTTTCAGGCTTTATCCTTAGTAGATTAGAACATCAAGAATATACTTCAACAAACTTCAAAAGTGTGAAAGCCGTGGTGAAAAACACATTGTATTTGCAGATTTAAAATTACAACACTCCATAGCTAAAAATCTAGGTGCCTCAGTCTGGGGAAATTTTTTACCAATCTGGGGCAAAAAGCAGACCTCTGCTAAAATAAGAAGATGGCACCTACTTATGTATGCCAAGGATATTGCTCCTTAATATCAAAGCCTATTATCACTTCTACTTACTTGCCAATTGTTACGTTTAGTGCTCTGTTTTCCATTGCAATAGTAGACCCTTAAGGGAAGCTAGAAAAATCCAGCTCTTTATCAGTGATGTTTTCAACTCTAATAGGAGAAGTACAAGGCCCTGAACTCAGCTCTTTGTGAATAAAAAGGCTTTTAATTCATCTTTAAGGAAACAATTAGAGATCATCCAGAGCATATAAATTAATCTGATTTTTCTTTTCCTCTATCAAGGCTTTTATATATCTCTTTTCTTTTTCTTCCAGGTTGGCTTCTATTTTCTCTCAGGTGCAACTGAAGTTTCCTAAGGCAAGGAACGGAAAAAGAATCAGCAACATCTGGAATTATCTACGCTTCTGCCAAATAAAACTAACACGTCTGAAGAGGGCTGTTTCTCAGAATAAAAAGGGAAGTGATGACTAATAAGGAAATGCAATTTACCAAAAATATCTCATTTTGCTTTTTCTTAAATATATCAGTCTTGTAAGTCTCCTTGACCACCTAAATGTCCTACTTGGATCATGCAAGAGTAAGACTTGTTCAGAAAGAACAAATATTTGGCAGTTTTGTTTGGAGGTGAATGCAAGACTAGAGATCATTTTATAGTGACTTATAAACCATAGATTTGACATCTGAGTAAACATCCCTCAACTCCATTTTCATCAATGGAAACAGGCAAAGTAGGATTCATCACACTTTTAAGCAGACATCTAAAATAATCAGCTGAACTGCGCCTTAAAAGCAGCAGTTGCTCTCCTTTGACTAAAAAGGGAACTCAGGACAACTAGCTCATCCATGATATCTATACTGTAGATCACTAATGTTGGAAAATATGAGGGTCACCCCCCAAAACTGTCTTGCAGAACCATCCCCCCTTGCATTCCTCCTTATCTTAGCTTCTCCTTGCTGTAACTGGCACCCTCCTGAAAAGAATAGGACCATCATCCAAGACAAGACCATCATTCAAAGGCTTTTGTCTTCTTTCTTAAGAACTTTTCTTAGAGGTCCTTAATGAAGAGGTGATAAGAGCATAAGCATTTATCTGTTACTTAGGTATATTCAGCTTAACTTTCTTGTCCCTGCTTCTAAGCCCTTACTCACAATCCTCCTTCCCATCCTGTTTCTTTTTGCCCCAACTTAAATATTATTCTCTAGGAGCCCTCCTTATTAAAGTCTCTCAAAAAAATCATCCCTACCCACTTGGCTCTATTAATCCTGACCTAATGTGCTAACAGCTCTGCCAAACAATTGCTGGAACCAACCTAGTCTGCACCTTCCTTAAACAGCAGTTATGGGATCTTGTCATGTACAAATTGTTCTGTCCAGAATTTCACTTACAAGCTAACCATGAGTACCCAGATGAGACACCTATGGTAGGTGTGTAGTCAAGGAAACAACAGTCCCCTCCAGAGGAGCACTCAGATCTTGTGCAGTTTTAAATCCTCATGAAGATATTAATTTCTTTCCAGTAGTTAAATGGAAGGAGGCCAGAGTGGAAATATTCCTTATTTTACGTTTTCCATGAAGAGCCAAAAGATCAGTAGGGTCACCCTGAGCTTGTATATTTTCTTGTTATAGAAATACATCTTAACATTTCTTTCAATACTTGGAAATAATAAATACAAACAACTACAGAGGCACCGAACTTTTAGTTGCCTCAGGGCATTCTATCTGCTCTGAAGCCTATTCTCACCTTAAGTTTAGTATTCTTCAGCTGCTACTGAGGTTAAGAGGAATGCTGCATCTGGCAAAATAAGGCCTGTTGACATTACTGATAGACCTCACTGATCAACAATGCGAAGAAAGAAAAAAAAAAATGCAGCCATGGAAGGAAAAGGGAAATAAAACCAGGCTTTATACCTTTACTAAAAGCCTCTAATATCCTCTCTCTATTACTACAAAAGCCAAGGGATGTTGCAAATTTGGATACACTGGAGAGCAATCTTCTTCTCTTTGACGTCGCTGATGAAACAACAGGTCTCTCCTCTCTTCATGTTCAATAAAAACAGGAAAGGGACTCAACCCAGCATGAAACTGGGAGCAGTGCCTGAGCAGCCCCTCTCCTGCTAACAGCAGGGGGATGGGTGCTAAAAGCAGGGAAGGACATCCCCAAAGGCACAAGGGGTTCAAAGTGAGGTGGAAGGTCTTGGGGAGCAAGCCAAGGTCACCTTTTGGCAGCACAGCCCCAGTGAGGGACTGGGAGAGCACATGCCAGGATCTGCCCCATCCCATATCAAGTATTCTAGTCAGAAGAAAGACAAACCTGAAAATCTTCCCCTTCAATTTTTTTATAATTTGAGGAATGCATGAGGAAATCACATGAGCCATTCAGCCTAACTCACATAAACTTAGAGAAACATGTGGCTTGAATTTTACAGCCTTTTCTTATCATTAGTATTTTTCCTTTAAATCTCAGATTTTGTTGGGCTCATAGAACAACAGCAAGGGCTGTCCTGCAGCTAATTTCAGGCCTGACGATTCCCTGTGACTGCAAACAATCTGCAGTTTACTGGATAAAGTGTCTTCTTTGTATTTTGAAAATAGTCAGCACAAATCCAATTAAAAATGTTTCTTTTCTTTCAAATGTTATATTGTTCTGAGTGTTTCTTTGTAAGCAGGGAACCCTGGATTACATTCCTCTCCAGGGGATCCTAAATGTTTATACAAATCACAGTAGGCAGCATTACAACACTTCCAACTTTTGCCACATGCACTTTGTCTAAACTCGAACTCGGTCAGAAATCCGTCACATTGCAAACTGTAAAAAAGAGAAATTAAAGGAAACTGTCTTATTTTTGTTCCTTTTGAGGATGTAATTCTATTAACAGTCTGTATGTCTTTTCCCCATCAATTTGATTATGGATTAATTAATTCTTAGCAGTTTTCTAAAGCCCAGCAAAATATCATCTGACCCAAAACATTTCACAGCAGGGAAAAAAGACAAATTAGATAAAGAGAAAATCCATCCTTTGGGGAAAAAATGGTGTTTAGAAGAACAGGCAAGGGTAGAAAAAAACCAGCTCCCCCTTTTCCTCAGGAAACCCATGCTCATTACATTTCACTCCTTTCCATTTCTGCACATCATGGCCCAGATTAAGTTTAACTACAAATTGGTGATGCAGTATTCAAGGGCTTCTTATTTTATGCCTTTTCTTGAGGATATCAGCATCAAAGTGGTTGAGATACAGTCACGGCCATGATTTTGCCATTGGTGTTGTTCCACAGTCATGGATCTCTTTTCAAACAGGCACACAAAGCCTGAACGTGCTTGGAGGTGCAACCCAATGATTTAGTTTTTGTCTCATGCTGAGGCAATATGGTAAGAAATAATGGGGTCTACATTACAAATGCCCAGACCCTGACAAAGGTTACATTTATTGTTGTCCTGGTTAATTTCGGGAAGGGCTGGATTTCACACCCTTTTCTGTGAGCTTGTGTGTTGCTCCTTCAAGGCAGGTTGTGACTGCCATCTGCTTACATTTATGTTTTTATAGGGCCTTTTATCACAGGGCTCCCAAAGCACTTTACACACTTACACCTTGATTCTCTGTTGTAACAGGAGGTGAGTTTAAATTAAAATAATGTGCAGGTCGTAATCTTGGAATTGGGCTTTAGAGCCTCCTTTTTCACCTCTC